TTTGTGCTTTGGTGTCGCTCGACACCATGGAGAGTGACGCTCGACACTTGTCAAAGAAATAAGGAAAACGTGATTTTGTTTCCTGTTTGAAGAAAGAGTTAGGCCCAAAAGTCTCCAATAATTACAAGAAAGCCCAAAACGTGTTTTTAAGTTATAAATAGGGTTTTTAGCCACCTTATATCGATACCTTAGATTTTCTTAGAGAGAACTTTTGTTTTTGAGAGTTTTTGGGGAGACAAGTCTGAAACTCTATTCCGGAGAGAGAAGATTTCGAACCCCTGTTTATTTATCTACTTACTGTTTTCTGCAATCTATTCATTCATGTTTATTGCTTTAATCTCCATGTCTGAGTAGTTTGCTTGTTAGATTTAGGGTTCTCATAAAGGATTTCTTTGGATGTAGATTGATTTGTTAGTTAGGGTTCATAATCTATTTAGTTCTTCACCATAGGTTGTTCTTAAAGCTAATTCTGAACTGGCCACCTTGAACTTAGATCTTAGGTTAATTGATTGACACGGAAGTGTAATTGAATAACTGGAAAGAACCTAGGGTGAGCAAAGTAGCTATTCGCAAAGGAATTTGGTTTAGATACTTTGTGAACATATCGAACTTGAGCATTAAAGCTGGTTTAAATCTTTAGGGTTTGCAAAGGAATTTGGAATTCTAGAATTTAGACTTAGATAATTCTCGCAACGGAAGTTGGTTAATTATAATTTCGTGATTTGAGTTCAAGAACCGTACTTAAATCTGAACCCTGATTAATTGATTTATCTGCATTCTCTGATTTCCTGAGAAATACCCTGAGCCTATCTCTTTCTCATTGATTTTACAACCGTTTGATTTTATAGCTGCTGTTATTCTCATCGTTTTCACTTAGCGTAGTTCAAGCCTAGATAGTTTATTGTGCGAATCTTTCGTCTCTGTGGTTCGACCCCTATTGTACTACAATTGCATATCTGTGCTCTTGCAGAGTAGCTCTAGGGATTAAACTTTGAGCAGATCAACAACCAAGACGCATTCTCGAGAGAATATGTGTGCGAATTGGTCATCTTTAGTCCCAAGTCGCAGGCCCAAGTCGGTGTAAACCGCGAGTCTTTCTGCGGTTCAGTTCTTTGCTCGGCCAACTCGCACAATCCAAGTCTCCTCGGATCACTTGGCATTCTGGAGAGCGTAACTTCCAGGATATGGATCTAAATGGCATGATTCCAACTTCAATGGGAAGAGCACTCAAATATCTCAAACTTTTGTGAAGAAACCTTCGCCGCTTGGGGATTGGAAGGTTCTCCGGATGGCTCATCTCTGAAGTGCATTGAAACGATCAAAAAGAATCTGTTGGACCAGTGTTCACTCCGGAGACAGTATCTTTCCGAAAATAGCTCCAAACTGGATGATCTCAGATGTTATGGAAATAGAACTCAAAGAAATTGAATTTTGGTGTAGGCCTCGGCAACTGAATCAGACTGGAAAGGCATCGTCCCATGCAATCTTTGTGACTCATCAGATCAGTCTTGAAGCTGTAGCGAGATAGGTGTGTCCTCCTATGAGCTTAACTCTCATCTCACGGCTCCAAATCCAATGATTTCACCTGTTATAGATCCGTGACCTGATCATCTCCCACTTTTCTGAAGACCTTGTAAGCTGAATCGGTCTTTAAAACTCCCTGGACAGGCAATCTTTCAGACGTATCGGACTGCTCTGGAATGGCTGCAAGACAGGTCTGTCTTCCGGTAGTCGTATCTTTCAGCTCGATGCTTCAAATTCATCGATTCTAACTGTTCTGAAATCTAGACTCAATTATCTTGATCGTTTCTGAAGACCCCGGAGGCTGAATCGTCCGGAAAGATCTTTTGGTAACGTGATGTCGAAGATGTATTTGCACCCGAGATTTTTGGCTGAGAACCTTTTATAGCCAGTACGTGTTTTGGCCGAGAGATCTACCCGCGTTACATGAAAATCGCCGAAAAAAGCTTCCCGCGGTACAGGCTATCGCCGAGAACCTCAAAAAGGCTGTTTTCACCATTTTTAAAGCTCCATTCACCATTTTTTCTCCTGGCTTCATCTTTTCGGGTCCAAACTGGTTCCAAATCACCTGTAAACACTCCAAAACATGCAAGACTCACTTGGACCTAATGCAAACCTCTAAGTCCTAAAACAACACCTAAATACCTAAAATGCATGAAATACGACATGATTTAGAATGAAATGTACAACCTAAATGATGCAATTATGAACATATCAACTCCCCCACACTTGTCCTTTGGTTGTCCTCAAGCAAAAAGAACAAATGAGAGAAAGAGGTTGAATGCATTGGGAGTTCATATTTCCTTTGAAAAAGAGAAGCGACCACTAAGAGAATTCAAGTTCATGCTCAATATGCAATGCAAGACTATACTCTGATGTATCAACCCAACAGTAATTTCCACAAGTTCTCCTATTCCTCAACTCTTTGACATTAATTAACCTTTCTACCAAGTGGATCAAATGATGCAATGTTTAAACAAGCAAAGTTTCGCTAGGGAGAGGTTATGAGATTAAAATGATCTCATCAATGCCTGAGTGGGTTCATGCAGCAAGGGATCTCTCTATGAAATGATCAAACTTTGGCAGAATGCTAAAGGTAAAAAGCAACCTATGCATACAAGGGCAAGGACTCATCCCACCCCACACTTTACTCAAAGCTTTCTCACTTGCTCACTCTCTCAAGAATCTCACTTTTCACACTCATTTTCCTCTCACTAGTGGACTTACTTTTCATTTTCACACTCAAGTCTTGGAGTTCAAACTTTACACAGCTCTTTTTCTTTTGCAACTTGTAGCCTCTTTTTCTTTCTTTTTTAAAACATTTGAGCTCTTTGGCTTCTTTTCTTTTCCTTTTACTTAGAGGCTAGACTCTTTCTTTTCAAAGCACTAGAGCTCACTTTCTTTAACTCAAAACTCCAAGACTGATTTCTTTTCTTATCTATCCCCTAGTTTTCTCTCCACCCTCCTTTTTCCACTCATCTCTCCTTTTTCCACTCACCAACAAGTACTTCCCCGCACTTAGTTCTCTCCAAATCTCTAAGCTCTTTGATGATGAAACTTAACACTCAATGAGACTTGCCCTTGACGCTCTAAACCTAATACTTTCTGCTAAGTTTGATCCAAGGTGGCCTTTCAATCACACACAAACATTTGGCTTGAAAGAAGGATGGGTTCAGGGTGAGGAAAACTGATCCAGATGCGGATTCAGCTATTTGAGCTAAGGAAGAGGGTGGTAAAACAGGATTCTAGCTCAAATATGTATATCGGTATCCACAAGCTTATTCAAACAATGCTTGGGATCTTTCTTCTTTTCCAAAGCTGAAAGAGATTGGGATCCACCTAGAATTCCAGCAGTGCCCACCTACTTCATCTCAAGTAACTTAGGCGGTTCTATCTCTTGAACAACTGATCCACAAAATTCAGCCAAATAAGGTGTAAAAGGGCAAGACATCCTTAACCACCTTTGAAAGCACCACTCTTTGAGTATCAAAGTCAATCATTGCACCAGTGGTGTTGAGAAATGAAGTTCCAAGCAAAAGGGGGAGCTCCTTGGTGTTCTTCATCTTCATGATTACAAAATCAGTGGGGATGATACATTTACCAACCTGTAGTGGATAGTCTTCTAAGAGCCCATATGGTTTCTTGGAGTAGGAATCTCCAAAGGTGATAGAAGAAGGGTAGGACTTTAGAGACTTGACCCTTAACTTCTCCATCATGTCCTTAGACATTATACTCACAATTGAGCCTGAATCACACAAAGCATTCTCAACTTTAAATTTTCGAAGAGTGCAAGAGATGGTAAACTTCCCTGGATTACCCAGCTTGGGAAGTGAGGTGGGCTTCATTATTGATGAATCCAGGCTGGAGGTTCCATCTTGGGGAGTTTCTTGCTCTGTTCTCACCCCCAGAAAACTTCTTGTTCCTAGCAAAAGAAACTGCCTCTCCACCTTCTATCTCAATGTCCTCATTGAGATCAGAAAACATGTTCACAAAGTCCTCTATAATGGCGTATTCTTCCTCATTGGTGGATGCTAATTCATCAGAGACTTAACCATAAAGGAGGTATTCAATCTCTGTAACAGCAGCTGAGTGATCATCACCACAGTAGATGGCATTGCAATAGTCTTTGGGGTTTTGAATAGCTTTGCCAGGAAGAGAGCCTAGAGTTTCAGAAGTAGAGATGCCCTTGTTTTTCTGCAGAGTCCTCAGTTCAGAGCCAAGTATCTCCATCTTAGAACTCAGGTCATGACACTTGGATTCCATCTTTTGTTGTCCTTGTAAGAGCTGTTGGAGAACAATATTGAGATCAGGACCTTGTTGAACTATTGGTAGACCAAATCCCGGAGGTGGTGGCCTTTGTTGCTGGAAGCTGAGTTGGTTATTGAAGTTATTCCCTTGTTTATGACCTGTTGGCTGCTGAAAAGCTTGTTGACCTTGGAAGTTACCTTGGAACTGATTCCTTTGAACAAAGCCTTGTTGGGGAGGGTATACTTGACCTTGGAAGTTACCTTAGAACTGATTCCTTTGAACAAAGCCTTGTTGGGGAGGGTATACTTGATTAGCTACATTGGTGTTCTATGAGACAAGTTCTGGTTCTTATTGAAGTTGTTGTAACCTTGAAACTTGTTCTGATTCCTATGTAGTTCAGCTCCTCTAGTGTTAAACCCTCTTCATTGATGTTCTCAAATTCACCAACATAATGGATTGGTTTTTGAGAAACCATCTTCAGCTTGTCAATTTCACTTCTCAGCTCTTTAACCTCTCTAGTAAGCCTTTGATCTGAGCTTGAACCCTCTAATCTGTTTGTCCTGTCATAATCGTCACCATATGTGTCATTAGACATGGACAAATTCTCCACAAGTTCCATAGCAGATGTAATCTCTTTTGCCAAGAAATTACCATTGGAGGATGTGTCTAATTGATTCATTTTCTGTGGTAAAGCTCTTCTATACAGTGTAGAAAGTAGAGAAGCATCAGAAAAACCATGGTGTGGACACTGATTGGTGTAGCTTCTAAACCTCTCCCAAGTTTCACCAAACCTTTCATTGTTATGTTGTTTGAAGCTTGAAATTTGGTTTCTCAGCTTAGCTGTCCTAGAAGTAGAGAAGAACTTGGATAAAAAGGCAAGCTTGCACTGCTCCCAAGTCTGTATGGAACCTCTAGGCAGGTTCTTCTCCCATTGGTGTGCCTTGTCTCCTAGACTGAATGGGAAAAGCATAAGCTTGAAGCTATCTTCAGAGACACCATTGATTTTGGTGAGGTCACAAACTCTGTCAAACTGGTCTAGGTGCTCCAAAGGATCCTCCATTGGTAACCATGAAATTTGGAGTTTTGAACCATGTTGAGCAAGGAAGCCTTCACCTCAAAATTGTTATTCTGAACTGGTGGTGCTTGGATTCCTGCTCTATGCTGGTGTGCATTAGCTCTATCATTTTCCCCAACAAACACTGGTGGAGGATCTTGTCTCCTTTGAGCTTGATGTTGAGGAATGAATTGAGCATGTTGCTCATTCCTATGAGCCTGATGCTGATTCTGCTGAGCCTGTCTTTCATTCTTTTGTGCCATGTTTATATTGACAAAGGCTTGCTGCTCATTCCTGTTAGCTTGAGCCTGATTCCTTTGAGCTCCATTAACATGATGAGCCTGTTGCTCCTGTTGAACCTGGTTCTCAATGTCAACCACGTGGTGCCCTCTCTGTTGCTCCATATCAGCTCTTCTATCAGTTTCCCTTGCACGTCTATCTCTTCTTCTTCTTGGCACTAAGAGATTGATGTTGTCGTTCAAAGGAAATGGTGAACCACAACTTCTAGACCTTGATCTGGTGTTCATACACCTGATAACAAAGACAGAACTTGCAAAGTGATCAGTAAAACAAAAGGAAAAGACTTGATCTCAAGAACAGATCAAAGCCTAATGCTAAACAATCCACAAATTGGCAACGGTGCCAATTGATACACAAGAGTTTTTAGGCTCTGAAGGGCTATCAATCCCTTTAATCAATGTAGTATAAAGGGTGTCAAACCAAACATGTGGAAGCTAGACACTAGACTATATGAACTGTTTCTTAATTCAAACAAATAAGTGGGGTTGGATTCAAACAGGTGATTAGCTAACAATTTAAACAAAATTTAAACTAAGCAAATGAGCAAAACAAGTAGCAAATGACAAATGATATGAATATGAAATGATGGAAGCATGAGATTAGACATGATAGCTGGTTAGGGTGCTTTGGTGCCAAACAAGAAATGCTAATAACAATAATGAAACATGATTCAAATGATTTAGAACTCTAATCAAGCCTTAATCTTTCCCAAGTATCAAGAAACTAATCAAATTATTTTACATACCCAATCATCATTGGAGATCAAACAACAAAACAACATTAAGAATCAGTTCTAAGAGATCATTTATGCAAATAACAAAACATCATCATGTGGTTAATGCATAAACCTCTAATATAGCTCTTTCAGGAATTTCATCAAACACTTTTGGTGCATAAAATTCCCAGATTCTAGATCACAAGTGATGTGCAAGGATCTAGCTTAGAGAACAGCTATTTAGAGAGATGAAAGCATGGATATAACCCTAAGCACTCCTAATCTAACACTTTAGCACCCTAACCTACACATCTAGAACCTCATTATGTGACTACTCACTAATCATATTTAACACAATCAATCCTTTGTAAGATGTGTTGTTAAGCATGATTAATGACGGGAAAAGAAGATAGAGATGATAGATAAGAAAGATTGCAGCTTTACACACATAAAGATCTCTGATTTCTCTTGATTAAAACTCTCAAAAATGGATATTTCTCTTCAAGGGAGTCTTTTCACAAAAGAGGCAAAGAAAAACTAAAGGAATAAAGCTTCTCAATTGGAAAAAACCCTAAAAAACATATATAGTGCCTCTTGCGGACCGGGTCAGCCCATGACAAACTGGGTACTGACCCGGCTTCAAATGGGTCATGTCTCAAGTATGTGACACGGTCAGGTACTTCCCATCCCGCAAGCCCAATTCTCACAGCCATAGAAACAGTCTTGTGCGCCATAAATCCCTCAGCCTCAGCCACATGCCTATCTAGATGTAAACCGCGAGTGTTTGTGCTGTTCAGGCTTCCTTCTCTTCAACTCGCACAACCAAGACGCATTCTCGAGAGAATATGTGTGCGAGTTGGTCATCTTTAGTCCCAAGTCGCAGGCCCAAGTCGGTGTAAACCGCAAGTGTTTCTGCGGTTCAGTTCTTTGCTCGGTCAACTCGCACAATCCAAGTCTCCTCGGACCACTTGGCATTCGGGGGAGCGTAACTTCCAGGATTCCAAATGGCATGATTCCAACTTCAGTGGTAAGAGAACTCAAATATCTCAAACGTTTGTGAAGAAACCTTCGGATCTTGGGGATTGGAAGGTTCTCCGGACGGCTCAGCTCTGAAGTGCATTGAAATGATCAAAAAGAATCTCTTGGACCAGTATTCACTCCGGAGACATTATCTTTCAGAAAATAGCTCTAAACTGGATGATCTCAGATGTTATGGAAATATAACTCAAATAAATTGAATCTTGATGAAGGTCCCGGCAATTGAATCAGACTGGAAAGGCATCGTCCCACGCAATCTTTGTGACTCATCAGATCGGTCTTGAAACTGTAGCAAGACAGGTGTGTCTTCCGGTGATCTTAACTCTGAGCTCACGATTTCAAATCCAATGATTACACCTTTTCTGGATCTGTGACCTGATCATCTCCAACTTTGCTGAACACCCTGTAAGCTGAATCGGTCTTTAAAACTCCCCGGACAGGTAAGCTTTCAGATGTATCGGACTGCTCCGGAATGACTGCGAGACAGGTCTGACTTCAGGTGGCCGTATCTTTCGGCTAGATGCTCCAAATTCATCGATTCCAACTGTTCTGAAATCTAGACTCAATTATCTTGATTTTTGCTGAATACCCTAGAGGCTGAATCGGCTGGAAAAACCTTCTGTTAACGTGATTTCAGAGATGTGTCTGGTCCCGAGATTTTAGGCCGAGAACCTTGAACAGCCAGTACGTGTTGGCCGAGAGATCTACCCGCGGTACATGAAAATTGCCGAGAAAAGCTTTCCGTGGTACAGGCTATCGCCGAGAACCTCCAAATGCTGTTTTCACCATTTTTAAAGCTCCATTCACCATTTCTTCTCATGGCTTCATCTTTTCAGGTCCAAACTGGTTCCAAATCACCTGTATACACTCCAAAACATGTAAGACTCACTTGGACCTAATGCAAACCTAAAAACCTAAAATGCATGAAATAAAACATAATTTAGAATGAAATGTACAACCTAAATGATGCAAATTATGAACATATCATAATAGACTAGCCAATGAGAAGCCTTTCTTTTTCTCCCAAGACAAGCTATAATTACTAAGTTTTTGGTTAATTTTGCATTACTAGTAGTTTGGTATCATAGTTTTTGAATTATTTTTTATATTTTAGTATAATGTTTAAGGTTTAGAGTTCCTAATTTAGGATTTGGGAAAATATTATAACTTTGAAATTGGTGTTTTAGGATTTAAAAGTAATTTTGATTTATATTTAAAATTGATTAGATTTAGGTTTACGATTTAATTTCAATGATTAAAAGATTAAGTTTAGAGTTTATGATTTATGGTTTGGAGTTTAAGTTTAAAGTGTAGAATATAGAGTTTGGGATATGTTAAAAGTTTATATTAAAGGTTTGAGAATAATTAGATTTATAAAACTTGATTTTTTTTTAAGTGTTGAATCTCAGTTATAGATAAAATATAGCCACAAATTAGTCATATATATTTTTTTCTGGCTAAATATTGTCACATTCTAGCCATAAATCTTGTTTGTAGATAGAAAGCCATATATATATATATATATATATATATATATCATGGCAAAATCGTGGCAAATATAGCCATGGATTATCAGTGATAAATTCGTGGCTAGTTTTGCCACGAAAAAGACACATAAAAGCCATGTTTTCTCTGTTTTGTATTTTGTGGCTTCTTAGTGATTTTTTCGTGGTTAATTTGCAAAAATCCACGAAATAACTGTGACTTTTTTGTGACTATACAAAAAATTTCTACTAATGGTTTCGGCAGAAAAAAAGATTTTTTTTTCCTGTTTTCAATTACGTGTTATTTTTTAATTGGTTATTTTTTGATGATGTGTTAAAATAACTTAAAACAAACCATTTGAAATTATTATGGTTTAATGCTCTATTCCGTGGTCAATCAAACCGTTTCTATAATTTTATAAAACCGAGATTTAGTAAAATTCTAATGAAAAAGTAAAAATAAATAAATGGAATGGCTAATAGAATAAAGATATTTGTGATGTTTAAATTAGTGTTTTTGATTTCAAATATTTTAAAATAAATATGCATACGACTTCTCTTTAACTCTCTCACATCCTTCTAAATTGTTTAACCTTCTTTTTCGAATAAGTTCGTACAATACTTCAAATCACTATATTTTTGTTCTATGATTATTGTGAATATATATATATAGTTTGTATCCTTATTCAAAACCCATATCAGCCAACTGGACAAAAAAAAACAACAATAGTATTTATAGTCTGCATCATGTCTTTAAAAATTAAAATGCAAGAAAATCTAACAAACAAATATACTCAACAATAAAAAATAATAACCAAATGAATCCAAACTACTATTGAATTTTCAAACAATCAAACAAAAAATTATATTAGCCCCGCAAAGCGCGGAAAAATTCACTAATTTTATTTTATATTTAAACTTTATTCCAAAAATATAGATATTAATTAAGCTTTCTTTGGATTTTCTTAAATATAGATTAGATTAATTACCAAAAATTATAAAATTTTAAATATTTAAAAGTAATTAGACTAAAGTTTCAAATATTCTAAATTAGTAAATAAATATATTATACGCTAATATGAATGGATGAGTTAAAATTATATTTTTATAAATGCTGTCCTTTGCGGGTTGATGTGTCAAAAAATACAAGATACTAGACTGATTCGAGGCATATTAAAAGGATGCATTTACCCATTTTAACGATCATAAATATACATCATAGTATACTAATATAAACCATATGGCAA